ATTAACAAATCATGGAGTCTCTCCTCCTATCGATGACCATTACCTCATTCTGAATTGAATAGTGATATTTGTTCTTTAATATACCTTATATAAATTTGATTATACTGATTTCAGGTCCAATAGTCTCGTCTCATCCAATATAAGCTACACAGGCAATAAGCTGCCTCAAACATTGACCAAGATCTCGTATGATGCCAACAATGCGCCAAGAAGCTACAAACTCGAATGTGATACATAAGAAAAAATAAACTCTGGAAAGAACTACTCAACCCGCGTAACTAATTTAACAACTGAAAAGATGTCATGAATCTTTCTCAGCAAATGAGGGACAAAACACACAGGAATAGATATAGGGAATTGTGCTCAACGTCACGCTATTGCGGCGTGCCACCCAATTCACCTATGATGATACCCGTGGCGGCATGCCATCCGATCCACACTTAATAATCTAAGGAAAACACACCTCGAACCATAACGCTTATAATCATGAAATGCCCGCATATCAACCATAAGCACACCAAGTGCATAATACAAATCCTGGGGAGACGAATAGCGCCATACGCTGCGAAACTCAAGCACAACTAAGGTGCAATAAATGTCATGTATCTTGAGAGCCTTTCTGCTCTCACAACACCATAATTTACACGGGATCTCAATACGAGTGCGAATAATCAAACCGCCTCATAACCCACATGGCACAATAGAGACTACACGGAAAAGTCGACAACAGAAATATCATCCAAGGCCCGAAGACCCCTCCGAAAATAACGCTATGCTAAAATGAACACATCCGGCCCAATATAGAGCCCACATTCACATTTAGATCCATCCACGGACCTCAAGACGATTCTAATCGTACCGCGCTGAGCTAATAACCCTTCAAGGACCCACGATGACCTATTCACGATACATGAGAACAACCGTCAATCAAAAACAAACTTCCACAATCCACAACCAAATTAACTGAGAGCCCTTCAGGCATAAATTCTCACATTAGCAATAGTACCACAATCTCCATACTTGGTTTTCCATCCTTAATCAATTAAGTGACTACCTGTCACACTTATACCATCTTCCCGTGGAATATGCTCCCACGACCTTCCGCGTCAGGTAACAAATCTGCACATCCATACCACCGGCCATACTAATGCCGTAAAGTGAATCAAGAACCCGCAAATCAATACACAAACCCTCCTACACATGACACTAATCTTAGGTGACGCTGAAGATAATACCAGCTTGCTTTAAACCTCTGAATCCTTTCCTGCTCGTACGAGCTTGTGACATTCTTGTCAATACCGAACCGCAACCTCGATCCTCAACTTCCAATTCCTATGCTACCCATTGCACTTAATCATGGCAATACACACGAGCACAAGAATTATTATTTTTTTCATAACTCCTGAACCACTAATAGAATAAACACTCTATCATATAGGAGCCTTTCACTTAACTCATTTCAGGAGAACCATTGCAATACGCGACTGAATCCTCATATTCGCAGAAAATACAACCCCAAATAGTGATCTAAACCACCATGTCCCTTCCGGAATCCATCTACACATAACAAGCCATAATAACCGAATACCTCTAAATAAATCAAATTACGGCGGCCATCAAGCCTAGTCTGATTACCTTTCCCTCCGTTGGAAATAAAACACTGAACCACTGAATCACACATTAAGAAAAACCACCTTTCAAATCATTCATTTCCTTGACACATGGACTAGCATCCTACCATCACATCAATACTATGTGATAACAACTGGTGAACATCCTATCAATCTATGCATAGCCTCAAAACCATCAGAAATATTGCTACCGAGCTGGAATGATAGAACATTCTTCCGCAAGGCGATGACATTAGCCCATTCAAATAAGTAGGGAGAAACATCTTGCACCACATCTATAATATCATTACAATTTCTTGATTCCCGATTTGTAACAAGCGTTTCACGTCGTATAAGATTTAATAGGAAAGAAGCAATGGCATAAGCCTCAAAGGAATCGAATCGCACAATGAGGAATCAAGAAGGGAAGTGCTCCTAACAGTCATGTAGCCTCCCGAAGATAAGTACAGACGTCTCTATACCGATCCGCAAGACTCTACTAGACTTGCTCATGACTCGTGAGACCTAAGTGAACCTAGTGTTCTGATACCATGTTGTCACGACCCAAAACCCATTAAAGGTCGTGATGGCGCTGGACACCACTGTCAGGCAAGCCAACGCTAAATAGTTAATTAAATTCTTATTTTAGTATTTCTGAAAATATAAATTTCCTTCAATTTACTAGTGATAAATTAACTTTAAGGAATAACATTAACGTTTTCCAATTTCAATACTAAATAACCCATAATCATCCCGGAACCCGGTGTCACAAGTGCATTAGTATCAACTAGGAAGATAAAATAAAATACAACACATGTCCAGAATACAAATTAGATAGGAAAATACATAAGTAACTCTCAAGGGGACTCTGCTGGCTGCGGATCATAGATGGAAATGTAGCTCACCTAAGTCTCAGCATTGACCGCACCTCTGCGCCTGCAAGGCTGCTAGACATATATGCACCTGCACAAAAATATGCAGCAAGTGTAGTATGAGTACGTAAATCAACGTGTACCTAGTAAGTATCCAGTCTAACCTCGAATAAGTAGTGACGAGAGGTCGACTCTGACACTTACTAGTGGTCCAAAAATAATATACCGATAATATGATAAATTATGGATTTTATAAGGCAACTGTAAACTCAATAACATGAAGCAGGTAAATAATTCTTTTGTTAATAGGGGATTTCCAAATTTATTTTCATCTTTTAACAATTTATATCTCCGGCCAATGAGGCCATATCAATTATTAATAATTCCAAAACATATCAATTAAGTCATGCGCAAATTATGTCGAGGTTGTACGGCCCGATCTAACATAATATTTAAATTGTGCACTGCCGGAGGGTCGAACGGCGTGAACCATAGATGTATCTATTTAATCTGCCAAGGCGTTCAGCCCGTTCCACAAAAGATAAACACATTCAGACAACCAAATCAAGGATTTATTTAGGTTTGATGTTCAAAGAAATATCAGTTCTCATTAACGGTCAAGTGACCCGTCCAAAACCCAAGTAGGTAAAGTTTAACCTTTTGAAATTCCTTTATCAAGTTTCAATATGTTTTAAACGGTTAAATTAACAAGTAGGATGCAAGCATCGCAAATATAACGTGATTTTGGTCCTAGACTACCCGAACATAAGTATAATAGTAGCTATGCACGGACTCTCGTCACATCGTACGTACGTAGCCCCCACAAATAGAAGCACATATTGAATTATTTTACCTATGGGTAAATTCTCTCTTACAAGGTTAGAAAGGAGACTTACCTCGCTCTGAATATCCATAATTGTCTCCAAAGCCTTTCCAACAACTCAAACCGAAGCCCAACGCTCCAAAACTAGTCAATAAATGTGCAAACTCATAAATTTGTTATAGATTGAGAGATATAAGCTTCCGAAGTCAGACAGCGGACAACAAAAATACCTTCTTCGCCAACGCGAGAGCCTCTTCGCGAACACGAAGAATAAAGTCCCAGCAGCAAAATCCTTCTTCAGGAATGCGAGAGGCTCCTCGCAAACGCGAAGAACAACACCAGAACCAGCAACCAGCGTGCAACTTGATCTAATTATGACATTGTTGCGACGTGCAACCCGATCCTAACATGACACGGTTGCGGCATGCCACCCGATCCCTCAGAACATCAGGAGACTGTATAATCAGAGCAGATGGTTGATCGTGAACCTGCGAGATTCGGTCTTGTTCACGAAGTAACGGAGGAGGGTCACAATCCTCCACATTGACGGATGGATTTGCCCGAGGCAAGCTTCGTACCTCTTGCAAAAAATCTAGGACGTTCGGATCCAACGGGCCCAGGGTGAAGGGATAAATGTAAACACTTAAGTACCCCTTCACATGGGTAGTAACGGCGTCATCGGGCCCGGGGACTACTACGTCCTTGCCTTCCCAATCGCAGTCTTTATGGAATATGAGAAGAACGTCCTCGGTCACGGAACAAGTATATCTCGAGACCCCTTCGCCCCCGGTCATTTTTGCGTGAAGGATTCTCGACCTTGAAGTCGGTAGCAATTGAGCAGTCCCCGGGGATAAACACCGACAAAGGAGGCTTAGCGAGCGATTCGTTAACAGCCGCAACAGGAGAAGTCGTTTCGATGGCCACCACCTCTGGGGAGACCCCTTCAGTACCAGCGGCCGGCTAAGAAGATGAAGAGGCAACTTGTTGAGGAACAGTTTTCGATGTTTTTGTCATTGTCAATTTAGAACAAGTTTGAAGTTTGGAGAATAAACACGAAGTTTTGGAGAGATGAGATTTGAAGATGAAGAAAAGGGTATGAAGATTTGAAGAAATGTTGATAGAAATCTGGAGATTGCTATGAAGATTGAAGAACAAGATGAAGATTTGAAGATTTGATGAAGGTTTTGATAATGGTTGATGGCTCGAAGATAGCGGTTTGATCGGAAAGTAGAAAAAGGACAAAGGAAGGATACTTTTATAGAGAAACAGTTGACGCTTCGCATTCAAAGGCAACCTGCCGGAGAACGACCCAAAATCGCAATATTTACAACTGTTAGTTGAACGGACACATCATGTCAGGGGTTAAAACTGTCACCTAATTAATATACATATACATATATAGTGGCATTGGTTTTGTTCCTCAAAATTGAAAGTGACACCCAAAAATAGAGAGAAGAAAATCAAAGAGAGGTAACTAAACGACTCACCTTCCTCCTTGTGGCCTTGCCTTTTCGTCGAAATCGGTTCCTTTTTTTGAGATTTTCTTACTCGGTCCAATTTTTGTGCTCAGTCTTGATTTTAATTATAGTAGATCAGCCTTTATGTGAACTGATTTCTAGGGATCTTTCACAATTTTCATGGCAGTTCAGGAATGAAAAATCTTGTTTTTATTTCTGAAAAGGGTGAATTTTTGTTCATTTTAGTTAGAGAACGATATTAGCATATTGTTTTAGTTATTTATTGTGTGTTGACCATTTATTGATTAGTATATTTTATGAACCCCTTTTCAAATTATGATGAATTATTCTAGTACTTGTGATGATAGGTTAATTTCATGGCAGTTGAGGTAGGAAAAGTCTCTTTATGCTGAAAATGGTGGTTTTTTGTCATTTTAGTTAGAGAATTGATTAGCATATTATTTTAGTTATTTCTTGTGTGTTGACCACATATTGATTGTATTTTTTTAACCCCCTTTTCAAATTATGATGAATTATTCTCTAATATTTGTGATGATGGGTTTAACACTTATTAGTCTTTTACAAGACCTTAGCTTTTGATTGTTATGCTCATGTTTGTGGATTTTGATACTCAATTTTGTTTCATTTTCTTATTTATTCATTATGTATGTGGATTTCTTTTGTTTGGTTAAAAAATTTGTGTTTGGTTTTTGAGTTGTCTTTACTAGTTGATTGGGAATTTAAATTTCGGCCAGCACGGAATATTAATATTGTTGACCCCATTAGTTTGGGGTTGAGGCTTAATTGATTAATTGATTAAATGGCTGCTTTCTGATTTTATTTTTATTTTCTTTCCAGGATTTTGTAGTTTGAGTTCAAAGAATGATGGGAAGTTGTAGTGACAGTGAAGAAGAACGTTTCTTTGATAGCCATGATAACATCACTTCTGTCTCTGATTTGTATTCTGATTCCAATGAGGCGTGCACTCGTGAAGGGGGTGATGAGTGTGTTTTAGGATATGAGTTTTGGAATAAGGATTTGGAAAGTGTTGATGAGCGTCGTGATAGATTTTTGAAATGGATAGGTTCGAATTCGAGTTGGGTCAGACCTGATGTACATGAACAGGGTGATGTAAATAGAATTAGGGATAGCGTTGAGACCGTGCTGGCGAATTCAGATTCTAGAAACAGTTATTTCTTAGGTCGGTCTTCTCACTCTTCCCAGTCTAATGAAGCTTTGGAATTGGAGGATGATGATGATGCAACAAAGGCAAGATTGCATTGCAAAATTAGGAATTTGGACAGCGGAGTAGAGTTTGTTGTGGATGAATTTGGTGGGGATGGTATACTTAGCCAAGTACGTGAAGTAGGTTCGAACAGGTTGTTCACTGCTGAAGAATTTCAGAGAACTCTTGGGTCATCGCCTTTGGTTCAGAAGCTTCTGCGGAGAGTACCAGATGGAATTAATACAGTTGATGCTAAGACAAAAACTAAAAAGAGTTGGCTTCAAAAGTTCACTGTTGCAACCCATAATAAGGTGAGGTCAATAGGAGACAAAGTGAAGGCTAAGGATTCCAATTTGAAGCCAGGAAATCATATTCATAGAGTTCGGGTCCACACTTATAGTAAGGAGTCAAAAGAACTGTCCTCACTTTACACAGGGCAAGAGTTCTTAGCACATGAGGGCTCAATCTCAACAATGAAGTTTAGTCCTTGTGGCCAATATCTAGCAAGTGCCGGCAAAGATGGCATGGTGCGCATTTGGAAGGTGATTGCAGATGAAATTCCAAGTAACTTGAATGTTCAGGATAGCCACCCATCTTGTTTATATTTCTCACTGACTCATATGTCAAAACTAGCTTCTTTGAACGACAATAGAGAGAAAATTAATGGGTCAAAAATCATGAAAAAGTCGTCGGAATCAGCTTGTGTCGTATTCCTGCCAAAGATTTTCCGGATATTGGAGAAGCCATTGCATGAGTTCCATGAACACAAGGGTGAGTTCTTGGTCCTTTCATGGTCCAAAAATGGGGTTAGTATAATATCTTTCTGGTTCAAGTATGTCTTTTGTGGTATCCTAGACTATTTTCGAATGTGAACACGTTGTAATTCTTGTAATGGACATCATTTTCTGCAGTATCTGCTGTCATCTTCAGTTGATAAAACAGCTCGTCTCTGGCAAGTAGGGCACGATCAATGCTTTGGCGTTTATTCACATAATAATTATGGTGAGCTTGCACTTACTTTTCATATTGAATTATTTCCTATGATCTTTCAGTTGGTAGATGATCTTGTTACCAATCTCTAAATGTCGTGTTATATGTACAGTCACTTGTGTAGAATTCAATCCAGCGGATGATAACTTTTTCATTAGTGGTTCAATAGATGGGAAAGTACGTTTCTGGGAGGTGCATGGTTGCCGAGTAATTGATTGGACTGATGTAAAAGAAATAGTGATTGTTGTATGTTATTGTCCCGATGGAAAGGTTTGATTGCATTGCTGTTACATTTTTAAAATATAGTACCATATCATTTAATGCAGTTCTGTTAATTTATTGCTTTTAATTGGTGCAGGGGGCGTTGTGGGGTCCATGGATGGCAACTGTCATTTTTATGATGTAGTAGATACGGACGCATATTTGTTTCTGAATCTTCTCTTTTTCCTCTTTTACTTTTGCCTCTCATGGGGTCTAAACTCTTATTCTCTCTCTCTCTCTATCTCTCTCTATCTCACACACACACACACAAAAAAAAATTCATTGTTGAGGGTGCCTCCAACTGCAACTTAGACTTGCCCTTTGTAAGATTTAGGTATATTCCCGAAAAAATTATTGTTACTCCTGCTTGCATAGGATGGGGGTTCTAACTTTTTCACGTAGTGTAGCTTCAACATAGATTAGACAGCTAAATGGTTGAAAGCTAGTTTGTTAGTTTCTGCTTGTTTCAATCTACTCTCTTCGGCATTTGACACTGTACTATCATTCCTTTGCATTAGGTAATCGATTGCATATTTGCTGCATTTCCAGGAATCCGAAATTCTGGAAGCCAATTTCCTGCATCTTTCACCTCAGACGGGAAACACATTCTCGCAGTTACTGAGGATTCAAATGTTCATATCTGGAACTACACTAACCAGGGTCGGACAACTACAAACAAACCAAAACATGTCCGGTCATCAGAGAGTTTCTTTTCCAACAATGCATCAGTTGTCATACCTTGGTGCGGGTTCAAAACCAATCCGGGAATATTACCTACAAGCGTTTTAGAAAATGGTAATGTCAACGAGAACTCGCTGCCAAAGACTTCAGATTGTTTTTCCCTGGGGTGTGCATTTTTCTTAGACTCTCTATCTAAGGGCACCGTGACATGGCCAGAGGAGAAGCTGCCTAATTCGAGCCCAGTAACCGTCACCCCTTCAGTCTGCAAATCTGAGTACAAGTTCTTGAAAAGTGCTTGGCAAGGTGCATTAAGCTCTCCTCATTTATGGGGTCTTCTTGTTGTCACTGCTGGATGGGATGGATGTATTAGAACATTTCTCAATTATGGGTTACCAATTTGTTTTTGAAATCTGGTTTTGTTTGTAAATTAATAGCAATTCTTGGCTTTGTCACCAAAATGGTGCAAAGGGGAGAAGATCCTTGCTCCTTAGGTTACTAGTATAGGATTGGAGGGGCATATTACACTTAATACAAGTTGTAATAGTCTTGATCAGTCAATTGGCTTATATATATTCTTTTATTTGTTTGGAAGAAATGTTGGATATTTGCATCGGTGTCAGATTAAATCTAGATTCGTATCGAATATTGGAAATATAGTATGTATCAAAAACACATGATGGTATGGTACAATTAGGAGTGTACATGGACTGGATTGGTTCATTTTTTATCAAACCAAACCAAACCAAACCAACTATATCGGTTTGGATTGGTTCGGTTTTGGCAGGTTTTTCGGATTTTTTATTACTTAAATATTATTTCAATCTTACTTTGTTAAATTTTTTATAAGTAAATATATATTTAGTAAAAATTAATAAAATTGACAAACATATTATTAAATATTCTTATGGGAGAATCTACTTAGTAACACATGATAGTTATTATTTAGTCGTCTGACAATAATTTTTTGTTGATGTACATTTTAAAGGTTAACCGAATTTAGTAATTTGAACATAAAAATCAATATGATACCTAAATAATAATAACCACTTCAAAAAAGATATAAAAATTTAATAGATCTTGACATATGAATATGGAAGAATAAATAGATTGACGCATTTCAGTAACACTTGATAAGAAAGTGATCATACATGATACAACCCATTAATTAAAGTTAATAAATATGGAGCACTTCATATTTTATTAAATATTATATCACGTAAAAGAATCTCAAATATTTCTAGATATGTTTTAAAAAAATTCTATATAAAATCTTAAAAGTAAATATAAAACTATATATTTATATGTAGTTTGATTCGGACTTTTATATATACTCCTTGAAACAAATTCTCAAAAGGGAAAAAAGAAAAAAGAAAAGAAGTGACAATTTTACATTCCTATACACTATATGAAACTATATTACCCTCCCTACTCAAGTTTTAATATAATTACATATTATATACCCAATTACCATTTATGTACATTTTAAGGCAACTAATGATAGTAATTAGTGTCCTAAAATCACTCTAACGTATCTTCCACTCCCCCATGTTTCTCTCTCCATCCCCCCCCTCCCCTTGCACTCAAACACGATTCTCTCTCTACAAACTTCAGAATCCCTCCATTAACGCCTATTTCCTCTCTTCTTCAAAAAGCATTCTAAATTTTTACTCTCTTCTTCAAAATATCACCTCCATTAACGTCTGTGCTTTGCTTGATTTTCAATGAAGAAGAAAATAGCTTCAAAGATCAGCCCTAAAAAAGATAAAGGAGCCGATATTCCTATATTTGATTTGGGTGTTTTCTTAGAGAATTCACCCAAAAAGGTTTCAAAATCAGCTTATGTAAAAGAAGAGAACAAGCCCAGGCTTTCCCCTCGTGAAGCTAGGGCAGAAGCTCGTATAAAACAAAATCACGATATTGGTGCTGGTGAATCGTTGATACCTGTCAAATCTGCAAAAAGGAAAGGCAAAGAGATTGCTTTCGATGATGATTTCGTCGAAGAAGAAGTTGTCATTAAAGTTGCAAAAAAGGTTAGAGTGTCTCCTAATGTAAAACCTTTAAAAAAGAAAAAAGTTCAAAAATCTTCTAAAACTGTTCCCCAACAGTCTTTGGTGAAGGTAAAAATTTAGTAGTTTCAACAATATATTTTTTTTAAAGCTAAAAAACTTTGTTCTCATTCTTATGAATCAACATAATTTTTGTTTTTGTAGTTGTAGAAAATTTGTCTACATAGTGTAGATTTATTGGAGATTTATGATTTCTTATTGTAGATACATTGTTATATAAAAGTTTTGCCTGGTTTTGACTCTGTTTTAAAGATTGTAGATAAATTATAATATAATTGTAGTTATTTTATTTTCTGTTTTGATCTGTTTATCTGATTATAGATAAATTGTATTATAAATGTAGTTCTTTTGTTTTCTAGTTTTGAGCCTTGTTTTAATAACTTTCTTTTCCTTTTGCTGCAGAATGGACCATTTTTTGCACCTCCTAATGTTGATTATGGGATCATTAGGTTTCAGACATTATCCGACCCCACTATTCCTGGCCAAATCAAGGATTTACTGTCTGAAAATGGTTTAAAGCTTTTTAAGAAGACATGTTTTGGTTATTTGCTTTCCTTGACCAGAATATGTATGCAAAATCAAGCAATTCACTTTCCCATGAAGTATGAATAGAATGCATTTGGTTCCGACTTTTTTTCAGCAGAGATAAAGGGTCAGAGGCTGAATTTTGGTTTGAGAGAGTTTGCCCTGATTAGTGGTCTGAGATATTTTACGGAAGTGACAGACTTTGATTACACACCTACATATGACAGTAAAATAATGAGAAGTATTTTCCAAACAAGGAAAAAGTTGAGAAGTCATACTTAAAACAAATTGTAACCAGTCATAGTTGGGTGAACGACGAGGATACAGTCAAGTTGTGTATTCTATAACTCATAGAATTCTTCCTCTGTCCTTCAGACTAAGACAATGCAGGGTTGATAGACCATTTCAGGTTTTATTTGGTGGACTCAGGACAGTATGCGAACTAAGCATGGGGTAGTGAATTTTATACACAATTGCTTCAGTCTGTTAGGCACAAGCTCAACCCTTCTGTTCATTTTTATGTCATTCGAGGCTTTGCACTAGCTATGCAAATATGGTTGTATGAGTGTTGCTCTACCGTCAACACTGATATAGCTACAAGGGTTGCTAATTCTATCCCTCACATACTTAGTTGGTCAGCTAGTAAGGACAAGATATGGTTATCTGTAATTGAAAATAGAATGATCAAACCAGCATGGATCAAGGTAAATGATTTTCACTTATGCGCAGACAATCTAATACAAATTATCTATAACTTTTATACATATTATGTCTAAGTCACTCTCATTTTTTTCCACTCAGTTCACCAATATAATTGAAGCACCAGAACAGCTTTCAAGAATGAATTTGCCAGATAAAATTGAATACATCCTTGAAGAAGTTGAAACCAAGTCCGAGCATCCGATAGATGCTGCATCTCCATCCGGACACAAGCAGGCAATTGGAATAGATGACAAGAAAGATATTCTGAAACAAATATAAAAAAAATTAAGAAAAGATGTTGACAAGGTAACATATATACATAATTCTAGATGGTTTCTTTAATTTATGTTATGCAAATTATTTCGTTAACTCTCTATATTTTAATGTGTAGGTTGGTTTAGATCTTGGATCTTTCAAGAAAGATATTTTTGAAGAACTAGGTAGTATTCGTCTGCTACTCAATGACTCAATCAAGGCTGTTTTGCAGGCGATAAACAGTCAAAAGGATAACATTGATGCCAAGGTTTCATTTGAAATATATTCATTTTACACAACAGTTTTCATCACGTATAAGTTTATATTATCGTTCATAAAGTATATAGCCTAACAAATTAAATGTCTGCAGTTTGGTGGGAGTTCTATCAAAAATGATAAGCACTCAAAAGAAAAGAACAATCAACACTTTCCGGGCAGTAGTGATAAAACAGGCATCTACAATATATCTACATTATGCCTACAATATATCTACATATATATACATATCTACATTATGTCTACAATATATCTACATATATATACATATCTACATTATGTCTACAATATATCTACATATATATACATATCTACATTATGTCTACAATATATCTACCTATTACCTAAATTTGTATCAACTAATATACATTACATTTCCAATAGTTTTATTAGATACAGGGCACGTGAATGACATAGAAATTGAGGAGAATGTTCATGTACGTATTGATTTATCTTTCCAATTGAATGGGCATTTGATGAAGAGAATGCAGGTATGATTTAGTACATGTTATCATCACATTTCATAATACATTTTGCATATCAGATGCAGGACAACATTTCAATAAATTTACTACATTTAAACTAAAATTTGTATGCAGTGATGTTAATGTTTAGTACAAATTATCTACAATTTGATTAAGTTAAATATATTTACAATAACAGTGAAGGAAATTATGCCTGCAGAATCTCCAAAACAGGAATCTACAATAAGCATTCCAGGAGAACATAAGAATGAGGAGAAGGAGACAAAAATACAATCTCCCATTCAAGAAGAGAATGTTATACAAGAAGGAGATGATTGATGTGAAGAAGGAGGTGAACCAACCGACTACGTTAATGTAGGTGATTAGGACAACGACTCCAGATCTGAGAAAAGGGAAGTTACACTTGATGATTTTGAGCTGCCAGAGAACTTCTCCGAGATTATTAAGTTCGGCGAGCTTAACGAATATGAAACAACCCCTGTGCATCAAGGAAGAACAAGGCAGCCTGGAAAGCATGCCTGATCCCCCTTTCTCCCTTTTTACAGTTCTGGTGGGAGCACTTCTGTTGGACCTCCAATTTTCCTCATCAAGCATCTATTTACTGGGGTTATTGACGAAGATGTTGATCCTGACTTATTGGAAGAATTCAACAAGTGGTTGTACCTTGGTACCGATACACTTTCAAAGAGGTTAGTTTATACAATTTGTTCATATTTTCGAGTGCATTCGTCTTTTGGATTTTCACTTGAATCTACATATTTATTTAAATTGCTATGTGTTTAAATAGGAGGAAGGCACCTTATTCTCTAAAATATAACCAGCTTAAGCCGTGGTATGATCTTGGAGTAGAGAAAGTTGATAAAAAGGAGTGATTTTATACTTTGGCACATTCCGGGCAAGTCCTTAACGACTCGGTAAACACATACCCTGTCAGAATTTAATGACTAGTTGTATTATTCTGTCATCTCCAGATTTTGTAGTTCTTTTGTAGATATATTGTAGTTAAATTGTAGGAAGCATTGAGAACTAATGAAATCTATTTTTCTGTAGCACATTGATGTTATTTTATACTATTTGAGAAAGAGAGGAAAGTATGGTCCTCAAAACAAGATACGGTTTACAACCACTGATTGTATGTTCAAGACTAGAATTGAACAAATTTATCAGAGGTACATCAATGCTCCTGCCGAAAAGAAGTTTGTTATTGTCAAACCCCAGGATGTCATATCAGAATATTTATATTGGGGTACAGGTTACTCGCAAATATTGCATGGGATCAAGTTGATTTTGTGATTATGCCCATCAACATTGTAGAAAAATTTCATTGGTTGTTGGATGTGTTTGACATTACCGATAGGGTTCTATACGTTTATGATTCTATGATCTCTTCACGAAATCACAACATTGTTGAACTGTCGTCAACAAGTTTGTTATTATGATCCCCCTATACTTGTCATGCACCGACTTCTATGGCAAGCGTCCATATATCAACTTCAAGAACACAAAGGCATATATTGAAAAAGGTATTACTGACTCTCTTGACATTCAGTGGTTGGTCGGTGAGATACCCCAGCAAAAAGAGGGATCACTATATGAAAAAGCTTCTTTTCCTTCTATCTATTTAACAGATTTTTTTTTACACTGAATGCTAAATATTTTCCCTAATTTTTTTTTTGCAGTGAATGTGGTGTATACGTTACGACATTTACAGAATATCCCAGCATTGGAGAGCTAGCAGTTTCAAAAGAAGACCTTTTTGATATTGATCAACATCGTAGATGCTATGGAGCGCTACTTTGGGATTATTCTAGGAAGAAGCAAGATATTGGTGCAATTAGTGAGAGCGAGGTGACTGGCAGATTAGCAAGAAGAAAAGGTGCATCAGCTGTGAACGAGAGAACACAAGTCCGGAAGAAGAAGAATTAGTTGCCCTTTTCTGTAGAAAAATTATAGTTAAATTATTTAGTTGTAGTTATTTTTTATAGTAAAGTTATAGACAAATTGTTACCTAAGAACAAGTCAGTTGAAGTTTAATTGTAGCAAATTTATGCTACAATTGTTTTACCCTATGTTTTGTTATTTTATCCAGGATACTACTACTTACAATAGGAAACATCTGTTGTTTTTTTTTTTGATTGGTTGAAAGTTATTAGTACTTGATTTCATTATTGTTAGCATATAATTCCTTTACAACTTAACTACAATTGTGTATTATAGATACAAAAAAATGCATAATCCAATCAAGTTATGAAAGTCTGAAATGAATACACTCAGTAATTAAACAAAACAAATACAAACCAACTGCATTAAGAGTTGAAAATATTTTATTATAGGAAACAGTCTTTATTCAATTTATCAACACAATTACACCTCAACTATAATTCTCCTGAACACCTCAACATATTTTATCAAATATCTGGTGACTTTATCAAATTTTATTTCCTCTTGGGAGCATTCTTGCAAGATCTTTTGTTATGCCCTTCTATTCCGCAGTTGCCACATGAAACCTTGTACTTCTTTGCATTTACTTCATCATATGGTTTGTATCTTTATTTTTGAGGTCTTCCTGGCTGTCTTTTCCCGGTAGGTGGCATTACAACTTTTTCAGCTATATGTTGTGGCATATTTCATTTGCTTTCATCAGGCAGCGGGTCTACTGGTATTTCATAAGTATGCAAGAGGCTCTCCCTCGTATAATAAGGAGAACAATAGTTTTCATAAGATTCATTCTCGTGCCTTAAAGCAGCCAAAGCATGTGCACAAGGAAGTTCATCAAACTGAAATTGTCCACAACTACATCTCTTGTTTTGAAGACAAACTATATAGCGCTTCATGACATCTATCACTCTATGGATGTAATCTGTTGAAGCCCTCACCTACAATTTCATTATAAACACACAACAACTTATCAAAAACATATACAAAATAACTATAATTATTCAATATTTTATCTACAATGACTGTATGTATTTAGTTTGATGGAATAATTGATCCGATGTTATTGGATATAGCTTACTCTCAGCTTCTGCGATAATGTCCTGTTGTCCTCTAAATCTTTGTTGTATTTTTTCCCAAGGTATGTGAATGTACCATTTGCTTTCAATAACTTTTCATTAGTCCAACGTTTAAGAAGAGTCCTTATGTACTCTAATAGTTCTACTATGGGTAGCTCTATTGTATCTTTTGTTACCGCATTCAATGACTCTGCAATGTTTGATGTCATCGTCTAAGTTCTGTTCATCGTAGCATGTACTCGAGACCATCTGTGATAGCCAATATCGTATAGATATACTTTAACACGCGTGTCAACCTCTTCCATCTTTGATATTCTTTCATTAAATTCATCAAGCGTGTATGATCGTGCCGTGGCAAAGTACAATTCGCTTAACTTTAGATGACCCTTCTTGAACTTTGACCTTATATTTGTCCAAATATGCCACATGCAAGAATAATGTGGCATGCCGGTATAAACAATAGATGTTGCCTTCAAGATACTCTCATTCTGATCTGAAACAACACACATATTTGATTTTTCACCATATGCATGTTTGAATTTCTCAAAAAATCACTTCCATGATGCGTCATTTTCTGAATCAACAACAGTGTATGCCAGTGGTAATATGCTACCTATCATATGTGGCAAAAAAAAAATTTAATTTTCATAATAAAACTGTAGAGAAAAAAAATACATACAAAAAATAAATTTACAATAATATTTTTACAATAAATCTACAATACATGTTGCATCAATTGTGCTAGTTGTTAGCATTATTCCCATGTATGCCGACTTCAAGAAGGTCACATCAACTACTACAACTGGCCTACAATATTTCCACCCCTTGATTGACGTACTAAGTGCAACAAATGCGTACAAAAAACAGTCATCGTTAGTCTTCTGCAATTTAACTATCGACCCCGGATAAGTCTTCTCCAGAATATACAAATAACTAGGCAATCGACTATAGGAGTCAGCAGGATGACCTCTCAAAAATTTCAAAGCCTTTCCTTTACTCTCCAAGCTGCATGTATGTTAAGTTCACGTCGTGTTCAGACAATATATCAATTTGTATGTCTTTTGATATGTAAATTGTCTTAGGATCCGCATATTTTAGTATAATCATGCTACCAACTACCATGGCGGTAGGTTTGCGTTATATGTATGTATTGTCCATCAAAGAGCATGTGTGCAAGCTGTTGAATTTTCGAATCTTGAACAATGCTGAATCATTTATGCTGTGGACTTGAAGTGCCATGTACAATTATCCCCAACACATACCAGGTAGTAGCTACAGAATAAAAATAATTTAAAGAATGTTATGAAAAATATAGCTAAAAAATAATAGGTTGTTTAAGCATAAAAATCTTATATTTAACAATTTATATACAAAAAAACTATAAATTATCTACAGTTTGTATACAATTATATTACAAACTATACAAAAAAAATACAAATAAACTACAAATTAAATAAGATATAATTTTTGACCATTGAACTGTTCCTACCTTCTAGCACTAGACTTTTTCACCCTAAATTGGAACTTATTCATGACAGAATAGTGCTTTATTGCACTGGCAATTATTTACTTGTCTTTGTATACTTGGCCTACTTCAATAACACTTGGCGTATGTTCTGTTATGATGATACTTTCATATTCTACTATCGTCGGAGATGTTGGCATATAAATCAACTTCAGTGTTCCAGATGAACCTATAATCAATTAAAGCTAACTGCAGTTCTGACATATATTATAGATAGTTTGTAGTAAAATTATAGAACACGTGAAATTCAATACTTCTATATTCATAACAGTTGAACAACACTTGTTATGTAGTTTTTTGTAGCAATATTGTAGAAAAAGTGTAGAACGCATGAAATATAAACAAACATCACCACTTATATAACAGAGCAAACCTGCAATTGTGTTCGAATTAGAGAAATTGCATTCCAAATCGAAATCACGCACTGTTATACATAATGGATACATTCCTAAACTTTTGTTTTCCTTTTTCGTCTCCATGTATACTCGAACTCTCATATCGTTCTGAATTTCCATTGGAGGACAATGTTCGTTGACAATGTATTTGATTTCGATGATTTTTTCTGATGTATCGATCATTGGATGCTCTGCGATTGCAGAATTCAATTGACTATAATTTGAATCTTCGCTGACTACAATTACGTCGACATTAAAATCTTTGTATCTCTCAAAGCTATCCCAATTACCATTTAGCTGAAGCATAATAGCTATTTTCGATATTATTTCGCGGAATTCAGTACAATTGTAGATAATTGTTTCGCTTATGGTTGTAAAACCAGATTAGATAGAGAAAAGCAGAGTATCGAAATAGTGAGAAAAATGGCTTAATTGCAGGCTTAATTCATTGCAATTATTGTGTTGCAAAAATCTCGGTAGAATCCTACGCTATCCCAAAATCCCGTTTCTAAAAAAGGAATGCTACTGCATAAAGGATTTTAGTTTAAATAATTGTATAGAATTTGTAGACAAGAGGGGTTGCTCTGATGGTAAGCAACCTCCACTTCCAACCAAGAGGTTGTGAGCTCGAGTCACCCCAAGAGCAAGGTGGGGAGTTCTTGGAGGGAAGTATGCCGAGTTTCTATTGGAAACAGCCTCTCTACCTCATGATAGGGGTAAGGTCTGCGTACACACTACCCTCCCCAGACCCCACTAGTGAGATTATACTGTGGGTTGTTGTTGTTGTTATTGTTGTTGTTGTATAGAATTTGTAGACAAAACGTGTTCAGGCCGGGTAATTAAATAAACATGAATATTTTTGATAATAAAGTTTCATATAGTGTATAGGAATGAAAAAATCTCATTAATATGATTGAAGTAACATAAATTTTCTTTGTTTAGGCTGCCAAGAATTCCTTTCAATTTCTTGCTCGACTTATTAACTAATACTAGTACTTAACTTTATTCTCCCACAAAATATTATATTTTTTTTAAATGACCATTTAATAATTAAAATTACCGCGCTCACACGATTAGATCTCTATAAAACCAGTCTTTAAAATCGAATATTAGCATTGTTCGAACGACTTTCTGAGACCCTCTGACATTGGCTTCTTGTTTAATTAGCAAAAATATTTTCATATTTGTAAATTTAAGAAATCTCAGAGAATCAAACTTATTTTCTATTTTAGAACTCGATGTTGGTATGTTTTCTAGGCAAAGAAATTAAGGGAAAAACTGTATTCGAAAAAACCTAATGGATCCAAACTTATTTTTGAGTTTTATAAAATATAAAACTTCTATTGTTCATTTTATACAACTTAATTTAATTTAACACGTACTTCAAAATGTTATTTTGACTTGTCTATTACTATATTATATGTATAGTTCAAACTCAAAGTTATTTATTGTAGAAATAAGTGGCGGAACAAATATTTTCACTAAGGGGGTAAAATATATAGAAATAAACTCACAAAGAGACCAAGGGGTGTCAATATGTAGTATGTATACACACACAAAAAAATTACCTTATTACACAGTGTGATATTCCATCGAAGAGGTATCGGTTGACGCCGTTTGAAATATATATGGCTCTGCCACTTATAGAAACTTCTCTTTAAAAATTAAAGTTAATTGAGTTAAATGAACTTGAATTCTTTAAGATTGAGATAATTATCTATAACAATATTATTGTGGTGTTAAATACTTAAAGATGATCTAAAATGTGAAAAATGTATACAAGTTGAGACCTAGGAATTAAGTATTAATTTTATGTAAGAAACGTGAACACCCACGTTAGGGCGGCTGAAAAGAAAAATATATAATATCTTTCTATGAGAAAAGAATTATACTTTAACTTTGGTGCTTTCAGAAAAATACGAGAACAACAAAATCCAAAAAGAAAAACAAAGAAAACAGAATTAAATTAGAAAACGATATATAATCACCAGACTCACCACTCATCATAATGATTCTAATTGGTATATTTATTCGTCACTACATGTTTTCCAATAATCTCTTAGTCTGGATCTAAAGATTCAAATATAAATAAATAAATAATATATATATATATATTATGCCACAAATCCCTGACCTAGTACACACTTTTGTTAGTCCATAATGTGTCATCATGGCTCCATTTGGTATTTATTTTTTTATTCTTCTTCTCATTTAGTCTCCGATATTTACGCCGATTAATTCGAATTTGCACTGAAAAATTCCTTTTTATAAAAGTAAGAATTTTCTACCAAAGACGATTACATACTAAAGCTTGAACTCGAGACCTCTTGTTAAAGATAAAAAATTATTTACCATTCTACCATAACCTGTGATAATTTCACTTGGTATCTGCACATAAACCTCTGAAAACTTTTTTAACCTAATTATTGATGTTTGAAATATATCGACCTAATTAATCTGAAGAAAATAAATTAAAAAATTTCCTACTGAAATGTTCTTTATTTTCTCGAAAATTTAATAATGTCGTTTAAGTGGAGTGGATCCATTGGCACGTCTACATTGTAGTACTACTAATTTTGTCTGTCCCCAAACAGGGCCACAAAACAGAGTCAAGAAGCAAACAGGGGACTAGGTTAAAAGAGTTATGTAATACCTGATTTTTCATAAACTGTATTGTTAACATTTTAAAATAAATAAATAAATTATTATAATGACAAGTGGTATCAATTTTTATATTTATTTTAACATTTTTATTTTACTTACTATCTGTATATGCTTATGTAATAAAATTTATGATGAAGCAGTGTCCGTGAGCTAGATTGATCCGCCCTCGAAAAAGACCTAGACATTTCGGATTGAGCTGTTATTCTTTTTAATTTTTTCCCATGTGGGAGTTTCAATTTTTAAATATATTAAGTAGGAATATATTATATTGCTAAATTAGAATATTTTTCTGTCGTAGACACACCTTAACAATCAAAGGTGGACCAAGAGTACCGCATCTTAATAAATGAAAAATACGACATCATTCATTACTTTTTTAGTTTTTTATGACAATGAGTTTTTAAAATTAAATCTATATAATTAAAAATTATATAAAAAGTATTATAAGTTATAATATAAAAAAAACTCTTGTACTCCCAAAATTCAAAATGTATCATTGGATCTGAAAAAATATAGTACTACTCTAACTTAAGTTAAATTGACATGTGTGCCACACTACGGGTTGTCTTCGGGGATGAATTTCTGTAATTTGTCAATACGTCTTTCTAAAAGGAATTTTATCATT